CGTAATCTGAAGCACACTTGGCCCAGTTGGTGTCAAATGTTATTTAAGCCCGCATCCAGCGACTTCCAAAGCCAAGGACCTTTTCAGAAGACAATATGCATACGATGAGAAGGGTGCAGCATGTGTACATCATCTGGGAATAGGATAGCTGCGACCTTAGGGCCGAAACGAATAGCTCAGATTTTTCTGCAGAGTCAGAAGCCAGGCACGGCCGCGCGCGAAATAACAGTTCTCATCAGCGATGGTGGGGCAGCTTTTTACGTTTCTAGATGCCAAATTTCCCTTGTGTGCAAGTTCTTAAGCGTGCTCTCGTAAGTCAACGCCAAAATGAAGAATACACAGCAATTTTGCGCAAACTTTGTCTCTACTTAGAAACCTTAAATCTTTGATCTGGAGGGATGAGATAGGAGGGACGGTCTTCGGCGATATCCAAATGGGGAAGACGAGTTCCAGGAGCACTAAAGATTCGCCGTACAGGTAGCATGATCCAAAAGAGACATCAGGATGCCTCTCGGTAGATAAAGTGCTATTGCAGAGGATGCTGAGGAGAGAGGGCTGACCCGAGGGAGAAGGGCCTATGCTCGACGATACAGCGGGCCTCCGAAAGATGGGATGCTGGAGCACACAGAGAGGCGACATTGGGGGTTGGGCTCGGCGTACTGTAGGTCTGCGATGAATTCAGCGACATAGAACTAGGCTATACAGGAGTTTGACAACGGGAGTTGGCTTTGCATTAAGTAAGAATCCTTTCTGAAGATGCTATAAAGGTTGCGTAACCTCAAGAGTAAGGACTTAATTCGGTATGCCTCCCAGCACTTAGCTACTATAAATCAAAAAGATCATTCATTCAACAAGGAACTCATAAACCCACTATATGGTTAGGCAACTGACAGGGTACAACTGATGACAAGGCGGCCCTAGCTCCTTCACCATAAGTTGCTAAAGTCTGAGCAATGGAGCACAACCCTGATGCTGCTAGATCACCGAATTCTTGACACAGGGTTGCAAGCCCTTATCTGAGAATTCTTGCGCGACCAGAGTGTTTCAGATTAAAATTTTCTGAGGTGATTAGAATATTGCAGTAGTACATAATGATAGGTATTCTTTGGGCTATCGCGACCCGAAGCATAAACATAGATTAATTATTTCAGTAATACCTATACACACAGCTGAAGATTCAATTTATTCAACTATTTTAATACATTGTTTCGCTGCCATGAAACGCCTTTTGACTGTGACCATCACATGGGAGTTCAGGTGTTAGCATTCCACTGTGCCGCATGACTTTGTGGAGTGCTTCAAAAAGTTTTGCTGATTTTGGAGCATTTGAGATTCTGGGATTTTTCAGAGTGCTTCGATACTCAAGCTGTACGTACATCTGGAGCCCTAGACAGATGATAACCTCCCCAAGAAGGAAGATGTGGCCCAGGACCAGTGGCGTCAGCTCCTCGCATGGCTGGGAGCGGCTGCATCGCTCGGGGGAGCGGATTGGCTTGAGCTCAGAGTTTGCAGACAATAGCCCCTGCGCAAGAGTGAGCACGCCGGGTACTTCTTACTAGAAGTATAGGAAAAATTAGCGGTTGGGCGTGGGCCGGGCGCTGCCTGTGTGCCTTGAGCTCCCAGGCTACTTTGACGAGGGCTGAGGCGAGAGCAGAATCACGAGCCCCAGGAGGCTGCCTGTCCAGCCTACAACTGAGCCGACTGCCAACTCAGGAACAGGAGGTGAGAGGCAGCTGAGGACTGTCTCAGGCAAAAAGAAAACACACACACAACAGGAGCAGGCTTTGAGCTCTAGCCTGTGAGGATAGCAGGGCGTCCGTAGGTGGGGCCTCTTATCGTGAATAAGAAACCAACACCGACTCCTACTGCAAGGACTAAGTTTAAATTCCCGTTGTATGCGTAGCTTTCCCCTGAGCTGTAATATAACACTTACCTGCTAGTTGAAGGAATATTTTTTGTTTTTTTGAGAGCAGGAGTCTCACTTGTTGCCCAGGCTAGGGAGTGAGTTGCCGTGCCGCTTCAGCCTGGCGCCACAGCAAGTCCTCAGTCTCCGGCGGCTCAGCGATTCTACTGCCTCAGCCTCCTCCCGCAGCGCAGCTGGGACTACAGCGCCATGCGGCACCGGCATGCCGCGGCCTAATTCTTTTGGGTATATATTTTAGTTGGCTCTAATTAAGGGGGGTAATTTATTTCTATTTTTCGGTTAAGACGGCGGTTCCTGGAGGGTTTTTTTCAATATAAATTTTTGAGAGATATTTAACCATTGTAAACAAAAAGTGATAGACTTATCTCAGTAACACATTGAAGTTTTATGGGAGCCATATATGAGGGATTTGTAGTTGAAAAAAATCATTTGTAGTTCAATTAAATAAAATTTTGTTGTTCATTTAAAAACATTGAGTAAGATTCCTTTAATTTATTTCACTTATAATCACATTGTAAAGGCTTTTGCCTTCTAGTGTGAGTGGTGGGTCTTTATTAAGAATTGAAATTAATTATAATATTTTATATGTGCTTTAACCATGAATTTATTTTTACAGGATTTCTATAATTGGCCTGATGAATCCTTTGATGAAATGGACAGTACACTAGCTGTTCAGCAGGTAATAAAAATAGTTTCTCTTACAACTCCAATAACCTAAGCATTTTAGCTCTTTGGCATAGTTAAGTATCTTTTAGTACAAAGTAAGTTCCACTGAATTAATGGAATGCCTGTTTAAAACGTTAATCAATAGCCGGGCATGGTGGCGCATGCCTGTAGTCCCAGCTACTCGGGAGGCTGAGGCAGCAGGATTGCTTGAGCCCAGGAGTTTGAGGTTGCTGTGAGCTAGGCTGACGCCACGGCACTCACTCTAGCCTGGACAACAAAGCGAGAAAAAAAAAAAAAAAAAAAAAAAAAAAAAAAAAAAAACGTTAATCAACCCTCATTTTGTTTTAAGATAGCATATTAAACTATAATAAAACCTAAATACATTTTATTATCTATTATATGTACTAAATTAGGATACCAAATTTGATTTTACAGTGAATTTAATTCAAAATTAATTGAGTGATAAAGTAGAATAACAGATAAATAGAAATAGCAAACTTATTTGATAACTAAGCCTTGATAACATGTTTCTAAGCTTTACATTTTCATTTAATTATCATTAGTTCTTAACTTTTGTCTACCTCCAACATAGTTGAGGGCTGAGATTCTTCCCTTTAGCTTGTTGCCACTATCAGGTAGCTCACTAAGGCAATGATTCTCAAAGAGGTGGGCTTCTGTAGCATGTTTGGTTTGGAAAGCCCCTCAGGATATCCTTTTTTTTTTTTGGAGACAGAGTCTCCATCTGCTGCCTGGGCTAGAGTGCCGTGGTGTCAGCCTAGCTCACAGCGACTTCATACTCCTGGGCTCTAGCGATCCTCCTGCCTCAGCCTCCCGAGTAGCTGGAACTACAGGCATGCACCACCAGGCCCGGCTAATTTTTTCTATATATTTTTAGTTGGCCAATTAATTTCTTTCTATTTTTAGTAGAAACACGGGGTCTTGCTCTTGATTAGGCTGGTTTCAAGCTCCTGACCTTGAGCGATCCACCCGCCTTAGCCTCCCAGAGTGCTAGGATTATAGGCGTGAGCCACGATGACGCCCAGCCTGGGTGTGGATTTCTTTAGTTTATCCTGTTTGGTGTTCACTCAGCTTTTATTGTGGTAAAATATAGATAACATAAAATTTACTATTTTAAGTATTTTTAAGTGTACAAGTCTGTGGCATTAAGTACATTCACATTGTTGTGCAACCATCACCAATCTCCATCTCCAAGTCTCCGGGGCTCAGCGATTCTACTGCCTCAGCCCTCCCGAGGACTGGGACTACAGGCATGCGCCACCATGCCCGCTAATTTTTTTGTTATATATATTTTAGTTGGTCAATTAATTTATTTCTATTTTGGTAGAGACGGGGTCTCGCTCAGGCTGGTTTCGAACTCCTGACCTTGAGCAATCCGCCCGCCTCAGCCTCCCAAAGTGCTAGGATTACAGGCGTGAGCCACCACGCCGGCCGAAGGGGATCATTTTCATGTTCTTTTAATTCCAGATTTATCATACTGTTTCAACCATCTGAAAAAAAAAGAGAAAAGCGGGATGAGTAGGTGTTAAATTCAGGAACAAAATACCCATCAATTTTCTTTGAAAAGGCCAGTAAAATTGCATTGTGATGTCAACCCTGTCCTTGTTCACAGGAATAACCTTGTTCTTTAGGACTGGAATGTTTCGAACTTAAAACCTTCACATTTTCATTCCTACGTCAGCCTGCAGATTATGACCTCCAAACACGAACAGTTTTATAATCAAGGTTAATTGGTGGGAGAGAGGGGAGAAAAGAAAAAAGTATGATCAGTAATAAAAATGTAGTGATGGCTAAATATTCCAGGTAAAGGAGAGGAGGGGTCTATTTAAGGCAATGTGGACATGTGAAAATAGCTCTGGGCTGGGATTCAGAAAATTTAGATTTTCTTGTGCCTGTTGACTATAAGACTTGGAACAAACCATTGAATACGTTTCTTCATTTGTAGTGAAGATTGTATACATTCCCTCTAGAGTGTGAAAATAAGCATGAAATTAAATATTATGAAAATCTCATCAAGTTTTAGAAGAAAATTTATTTTATTTTAATTTATTTTATTTTTCTTATTTTTTGAGACAGAGTCTTTCTGTTGCCCAGGCTAGGAGTGCCATGGCATCATCCTAGTTCACTGCAATCTCACACTCCTGGGCTCAAGTGATCCTCCTGCCTCAGCTTCCCAAGTAGCCGGAGTACAGGCATGTGTAACAACACCAGCTAATTTTTCTATTTTGGAAGAGACAGGGTCTTGCTCTTGCTCAGGCTGGTCCAATCCCCTGACCTCAAACAATCCTCCCCACTCAGCCTCCCAGAGTGCTAGAATTCAGGCTGAGCAACTGTACCTGGCCATAAAGAAAATATTTTATAAATCCAAAGTATCATAAGTACTTTCAAAATACCTATCCAGGCTGGGTGCATTGGCTCACGCCTGTAATCCTAGCACTCTGAGAGGCCGAGGCGGGCAGATTGATCAAAGTCAGGAGTTCAAAACCAGCCTGAGCAAGAGCGAGACCCCGTCTCTACCTTAATAGAAA